CCAATGCTTTCGTTCATACTAATACGGCAAGTTAGTATGAACGAAAGCATTGAAATCCTATGATTGAACTTTATCGGCACTGGCATAAGTTAACGGTTACGGCCATTATAAATCAGGCTTAAATCTCGCACGTCTGTCGATCCTGTCGATCTATTATATACATACTATATGAGAAGTTCGTTAGTCGTTAGGTCGTTATCACTACCAGTCGTAGCAGTTGTTACCGGCGTCACGCCGTCACCGGCGTGAACGAGATTAACGAGAATGAATGTGTATGCGGTGGGCGTATGTTTTTGTTTATACCCCGTTTTTGTGATCAAGATCTGTCTCTCAACAACAACTTTTAACAAAAGAAAGGAGCCAACAAAAAGGAAAAAGTATATACATTGTTTAAGTTACATAGTCTAGAACTGTGTTCCGTTTCAGTATGACGTGCATGATGTATCATGGTACCCTTGTTATTCACTAAAGATAAAAGGATAAATCATGCGCATCATGCGTAAAACGGAAAACAGCCTAGATTTTACCTGTTATTACTTAGAATTATCAAATTTATTAATGTATATTAATATTTTGTTTTCAGGCAGATTACAAAAAACAAAATGTCATTTGTTAATGATGATGAATGTGCAGAAAAAGAGATTGAACGGTTAGATGAAATGATAGAAGATGCTAATAAATTAAAAGAAAATAGAAATCTAGTTGTGAGTATCCAGAGTTCCACTCGTACTCGAAGTATTGCCAGAGAATATTTTGGTATGCTAAAAGATATTAAAAAAGGCATTGTGGTTGATAAATACCATGTATATTGTAAGATGTGCTTTGTGCATCCTAATGGACGAAAAATTTATAGATATAAAAAAGCAGTTAGCACTGGAAATTTACTTTCTCATTTGAGAGAAGAGCATAATATCAATTCAACGCATTTATCAAATGAAAAAATCAATATTCGAAGATTCTTTGAATCTCACAGACAATCTGAACAATTAGGCAAATCTCAAAAAATAACTGACAAGAAAAAAGAACTAATTGATAGCATAACCGTCTGGTTTTGCAGAGATTTCCTCTCGTTTCACGAAATTGAAAAAGATGGATTAAAAGATTTTTTTAAACTACATGGTATTGTACAAAATGAATCTGATCTACCACATCCAAGTACATTATCTCGTAATTCTCTCTCAAGAGTGTACAATGATTGTGTATTTGCCGTAAAAACAAAAATAAATGAAGATAATCCAAGTGCAATTTCACTAACTATGGATGCATGGACTGACAATTATCGTCATATTCCATTTATGACTTTTACTTTACATTGGATATCACCTACAGAAACAAAGTTGAGATCATGTACGTTACAAACGAACTTTTTCCCACATCCTCACACAGCAGATAATATTGTTGAAGAATTAAAGAAAGTGCTAACAGAATTTAATTTAAACAGTAAGATTATAACTCTCATAACTGATGGAGGATCGAATATGATTAAAGCTGCAAGAGATATGAAAGTTAGTAGAGTACCTTGTGTTGCACACGGACTCCACAATTTAGTGATGGTAGATACTCTTATATCTAAATAGAGAATAAACTACCACAAATTAATAGTTTTTTAACTAAAGCTAGAACTATTATAAAAATTCTTGCTTTTAAAACTCAAGATATTGACGAAATAAAAAAAATTACACAACAAGAAGGAATTAATAACATACTTGATAACATTGAAAATCTGGAAGAAATTTTGGAAGCTGATGCAAGATTTGATTCCATACTTTCTACTAACGATCATACGTATGCGCAGACTTTTCCTTCACTTGTGACATCTTCAGGATTACATAAAGATGTATCCACTAGATGGAATAGTACATTAGAGATGCTGGCAAGTTTACTTAAAAATAAAGGTAAACTGAATGTGCTAATGCATGTTAAATTTTACAATCCGAATTTGAATATTAGTATTAACACTTATAAAATGTTATCTACAGTAATCTTTCTTTATTGTACAAATATGTTTAACTTAGAAAAGTAATATAAATGTTACAAAAAAATTTTATAATTATTATAAGTAATATATTCATTTAGAACATATTGAATATATACAATTTGACATATTTATGTCTTTTATATGAAATAAATTTAATTAATTAAGATAAGAAAATATTTCTCTACAACAAAATTGTAAATTTATCGTTTTAAAAAATGATATCAAATATTTTTTATTAATCGTATAATTTTCATATTTTTTACTTAATATTTAAATATAATTATAATTAATTTTGTAGAGATAGTGATACGCTGCTTGGAAATGAATAAACGTTATGATGCAATTCCTACAGACGATGAATGGAGGAATATCGAGGATATAGCAAACTGTTTGATAAGTATCAAAACAGCAACAGAAATTCTTTCTGGAGTACAATATCCAACAGTCAACCTTGCACTTTTATTTAGGTCTGTAATATATTTTTAATATATACAAATATATTCTAATTCAAAATGAAGAGCTATATCATAAAATTCATATTAATATATGATATTTTTACTTGAATAGTTTTTTATATTTTTATATCAATAAATTTAATTTAATTTTATCATAAATTTTAAAGAAATTACTAAATGCACAGTTGTATAATTTTTTCTTTAATTTTTTCAGGGCAGAAATTGAGAGCAGCATGTGTATAAATGAAAATGATTCATTTATAATAATAGAATTTAAGGAAACTATTTTACGGAATTTAGCAAAGCGATTTCCAATTCATGAAACTCATGTTTGCGGAGCACTTTTGGATCCAACCCTTCAAAATATTAAAGGTGTTGCGGAATATCTTGCAGATAAGCAACAATCTCCTGAAGAATTCTTAATGTATATGATCCACAAAATGATTCCTTTCAATATTAGAAATAATGAGCAGGTTAGATTATTTTTTGTATTTTAGATCAGAGAATATTTAAAAAAAGGTTTTGCTAATAAAATCTATTATTAAATTGAGATTATTATTATAAAAATAATTTGACATTGTTATTTACAAAATTGTATTTACAAACTCTAAACTTAAACAAAATTTTACATTGATATGTAATTGTATTTGCAGCAGATCTATGTCAATTACTAAATTTAAGATTATTGTTTTTATAATATAATTAGATGTTTGTTCCTACTTTTTTACACTAGGTATCTAAAGAAGCAGATACTCATTTTAATAATAAATCATGTTCGCTTCCCGGAATTAAAAAATTACGATTGGAATTAGCTGCAAAACACAAATATTTCCTGCTGAAGATCCCATTCTTATTGAAATTAAGAAATATTTATACATATCAGAATCCATCGAGGATCCTCTACAATGGTGGAATAAAATGAAATTATCATTGCCAAATTTGTATAAATTGATGTGCTGCATTTATGCCATTCCGATCACAAGTTCAGCATCTGAGCGTGCATTTTCTTCTGCAGGTTTACTTATAACAGCAAAACGTTCTGCATTAAAGCCATCAAAATCTAATAAAATCTTATTCATTCATGATAACTTTAAATTAATAAAAGATATCTATTTAAAATCAATAAAATAGATATATAAGTTGTGCAATTAAACTTAAAAAAGTCTTATGTATAAGAAGTTTGACATTTAAAATGATTTTATTTTGTTTTTGTAAGTTTTATATATACAATGTATATGTAAGAAAATCTAATGGTTAAAATAATTTATATTTTATTTTTGTTACAAATAAGTAACTATATATGAATAGCTATATAAATGAATAATTATTAATATTTTGGAATAATTATTTTGAGGTGTACTTGTAAAAATTAAAATAAAAAAAGACTGATGTAAAAAATAAAATGTATATTTATGTTTTTTGATTTCCAAGTATATCTACTAAACTTTGTTTATTGAATAATTTAGAGTTTAACTCTTTTATTTGAAATATATAGATATATACGACGCCGCTATTCGCCGCCGCCGCCGATAATTATCATCCGCCGATTACCGCCGCCGCCGAAAGAGAAAATTTTCGGCGAATTCGCCGCCGCCATTCTGTTTTTGCTCTAACGCCGCCGCCGGTATAAACTAAAACGGCGCACGAGTCTACTAGGGAGGGTACTAAACATGGCTGACATGCCATCAGGGTTGGGTTATTCGAGGATTTTCTAGGTTTTTTTACATTATACTGTATTATACTGCATTATACGATATTATATGTAAAAAACCGTATAAAATGTATAAAACTCTAATTTATGGTCTACGACACTCTACGAGTGTCCAGAACGACTCCATATTATCGATTTTTCTGAAATATCGATTTTTACCATTGCTGCGAAAATGATGCGGGACCCCCCAAACACTGGACGCTTACGGCGTTACGGCTATGATGCACGTAATTCAAAAATATAAATCGAAGTGATGTAACGCTCGAGGCAGAACCATAGAGATATAAGAATAGAGGGCAAAAGCCGTAGGTACAGGCGTTAGCGGGATAGAAAGAGAACGCTGCATAGTTACTCGTGCCATTCTTGTTTAATGACGCATGCGCGCAGCCCATCCATGTTTACTTACAAGCATGGTAGTGAATATGCCGGAATTAACCGCTTTCGATTTTACAAATGTTTTTGTGTACAGTTTTTTTAAAAAATGACTGTAAAGTGTATCGTGTGCAAAAAAGAATCAAACCGATTTTCTGATCGCAGTTTTCATAAGTAAGTACACACATATTGTACGTATACATAACAAACATACAAACCTAACCTTAATAAACATTGTAATTAATTGTATAAAAATTGATATCTGTAGTTTCAATGATACTTTTCTATTTTAACTATAATTTCTTTATTTTTTACTTTATTTACCATAATTCTTGCTTAATGACACATATTCTCATCATAATTTTCATCATATACATGATAAAGAAGAATATTAAAGGTACCATTTCTTCTGTATTTGCAATATTACTTTTTTAACACCATTATTTTCATTACAATTAATTAAATCATACATGAGGATTGTTTATTTATAAATCTAGCATTGCATTTTAACATTTTCAGTCCTATCAAATATGTAACGCGTACTTATCACGACAGTGTCCAAAACATGAATTTGGACACTGTCGTGCTTATAAACAAAATATTTCGCATCATTTCCATATTCTTTCTTCATGATTTTAGAAAGGAACATGTTTTCCGCTGTCTTCGCCAAAAAATCCGAATGTTTTTAATACATTTTCATGTCAAAATCAATTACTTTGCATTACAACTCATCCGCCGGCGTTTGAAATCCATCGGCTCCGCGGGGGCCACGGCCGGCCAACCAGCGCGAAGTCATACTGCGCGTGCGCGAGATTAGACAAAGACACACAGGGAAACTATGCATCGTTCTCTTTCTATTCGTCTATCGCAGCCACTCACGCGTCAGCCTACTGCTGACGCGCTCTATTCTTATATCTCTATGGGCAGAACACGATCCGAACCGCACGAGCGACCTCTCAAGACACAACAAGAATTAAGAGCTCAGTTCTTAATTCTTTGTCTGTTCGCGAATTTTATATGCAAATTTTGGATCGATTTTTAGCGTGGATAATATAGAGATTGATAGAAATAATTAAATTACGCACATGATGTAGAGATGACGCCACATGAAGTATAATACGTATAAAATTAAATGATGTATTATACTTGTATAATACCATGTATAATACTATAGGTTTGTTTTCTGTTCCTGCACTGGTTGCACTAGTTCAAAAAGTGTACACTAAAGCGTTTTCTGTACCCAAAATGGCGTCAGCGACAGTGTTTCTTGTTCCCGTGCAACAGAACTCAGTGTACGAGTTCACCGAACTGGCTGCACTAGGTCTTGAGGCAGTGTAAGCAGTGCAAGCACCAGTGTGCACTAGTTCAGCTACAGAAAACAGATCTCGCGTAAATGACGCATAGCAAATGGTGGCAAGTTCGAGAGTCCACGAGTAATAAAACGGTAAGTATATGGAAATAAAAACTTTTCTCGATCTAAAAGACTAATGCGGGTTCTACAATAGAAGTCGTAGAGTCTTGAGTCGTAGAAAATTAATCAATCACAGTCGAATATGAAAAGAATAATCGACGATGATTGGTCAATTTTCTACGATTTAAGACCCTACGACCGCTACGACTTCTATTGTAGACCTCGCATTATATTTACATTTCAATACATTAAAAATGTATACATACAAATAAAAACCGTCACAATTAGCTAAAAATCCTAACTATTGAGCATCAAATGGTAATTACGGAGATGACGGCCGACCTCACCGATTTTAATGAAATTAGGCTCATTCGATGCGTTTTTGCATGAAACGAACGAATCTGGCAGAAATAAGCGTCGCTCTGCCCCGCGAACCGAGATATTTAGCGTTAAAGTTCACGACCGTTCAGGTTAGGAAATCTGTCATACCGACTCGATATAAGCGCTATGAGTATGCCTTTTCATGCTCTGTGACTTAATGCGCATGCGTTTAGCGATTCTTGGGTCCAATAATGCACGAAATTTAAAATCAAATTAAAAAATGAATTAGTTACTCGTGCAATGTTTCTATTATACATATAAGATACATATAAGAATAGAACTATGTACGAGGTGTGATCAAAAAGTAAGGTGATTTTTCATTTTTATAAAAAAATATTCATTTATTCATCCAAAATTATGTTATCCCCTTCAAAATAATCCCCCTCTGATACAATGCACTTGTGCCAGCGCTTTTTCCAGTCGTCAAAACACTTCTGAAATGCACTTTTGGGTATTGCCTTGAGCTCCTCCAGCGATGCAGCCTTAATCTCCTCAATCGTCGCAAATCTTCGTCCTTTCATGGGCCTTTTCAATTTTGGGAAGAGGAAAAAGTCACAGGGGGCCAAGTCTGGTGAATACGGTGGCTGAGGCATGATGATAGTATTGTTTTTGGCCAAAAAACTACTCACTAGTAACGACGTGTGCGCAGGTGCATTATCATGGTGCAGAATCCATGAATTTTCTTTCCACACTTCCGGACGTTTTTTTCTTATTGATTCACGCAAACGCCGCATAACCTCAAGGTAATACTCCTTGTTTACCGTACGACCTTGTGGTAGGAATTCTTGATGCACAACGCCATGGTAATCAAAAAAAACTGTGAGCAAAACCTTCACATTCGAACGAACTTGGCGTGCCTTTTTCGGTCTTGGCTCTCCTGGGCTCTTCCACTGGGATGATTGAGCTTTGGTTTCGACGTCATAACCATATACCCATGTTTCGTCACCAGTTATAACCCTTTTGAGCAGATCAGGATCATCATTGACGTCGTTCAACATGTCTTGGGCGATGTTCATGCGACACTGCTTCTGATCCAAATTAAGCAGTTTTGGAACGAATTTCGCTGACACACGTGTCATACCCAAAACATCCGTTAAAATTGATTGGCATGAGCCAAACGATATGTTAAGATCATCAACTATTTCTCTAATCGTGATTCGACGATTTTTCAACACAATTTCTTTCACTTCCTGAACATTTTCGTCGGTTTTTGACGTGCTGGGGCGTCCAGAGCGAGGTTCATCGTTAACATTTTCTCGGCCCTCTTGGAATAACTTATACCATTTATAAACATTTTTTTTGCTCAAAGTTGACTCACCGTACGCCACTGTCAACATTTCAAGAGTTTTTGAACACTTAATACCATTTTTTACACAAAAATTAATACAAACTCTCTGCTCCATTATTTTCAAAAGCAAAAAATCGCCGAGCACGCAAACACGAGTCTAACCTTTATGCCTCTCACATAAAAACAAAACATGCTATATAGTCAAAACTGTGAACATATGATCGTGACGAGTGTACCAACACAACAAAAAATTAAATATCTCGGTTCGCGGGGCAGAGCGACGCTTATTTCTGCCAGATTCGTTCGTTTCATGCAAAAACGCATCGAATGAGCCTAATTTCATTAAAATCGATGAGGTCGGCCGTCATCTCCGTAATTACCCATCTTTGTAAGGTTAGAAAATGTCATATTAATGTGTAATAATTATACTACAACTAATTTTATAAGCAACGATTTCCACTTATTTATAATAGAAGTTGAAATATATCTTTTATAGTATATACACATATTATATATATACATATATATACACGTATATTCTAAATAGTTATAGTTATAGTTATAATTATAGTTATATATATATATATACACATATATTATAGTAGTACACGTGTAGTACACGTGTATTATACACGTAGTTATAGGTATAGTTATAGATAGTTATAGTTATATATATATACACGTATATTATTATTATATTAATAGTCTTGTCCATTACTTACTGTTTTACACTCGATTCTCGTATCGAAAGGAAGAGAA